AGTGTCACGGATTTTGGCATGCTGAATCAGATTGCACAACCAGACGTGAGATCTGTTTCATTGAGCAGGGTTTTTTTGAAAAATTGGGCAATGACGCGGTTGGTCCAAGAGAAGATGAAATCAAAGAGGATTCTCCACTGGTAGCCAACAAGGAAGAGACGCCACCAATTTCATTTGACCCCGAGATAGAGATTCCAACTGAGGTAACAGTCGCTTCTCTAGAATGTAGTGACTTCGAGGTAATGAGCAGTCCAACAGTGTATGAGATTAAGGTACCTCGAGCCCGTATTTTACATACTTTGAGAGGAGCATCAACAAGACCAAACTCGGATATCTACAAGGGTTATGAGATTGAGGAGCTGACATCACATACAGGGTCACCACAAATAAGGGAAATACAAATATATGAAATTTATAGATCCCCTCCTGAGTTACCCATACGGAGGGAGGTCCCGCATGTCCGAAGAGCAGTCATTTTGTGCAATGTCGGAAACATTACATGGAGTTATTCAGAGGTTATTTTTCAGTTTGGCATAGGGCCCATCACTAAATATCCAGCCAGTAGAGATGAACCTCAAATTGGTAATGGGCTTGAAGAGCTTGACGGGAATGAAAATTATTCAATGAGATTTAGGCCCTATCAGTAAAGAAGAAGTCTCTCCTAAGTGGGTGCTAGTGAGAGGGGGGCAGCCTTGCCACAGATTTTACCCCATAATTGACACTTGGCCAAATATGAGTGGAAGAAGCGGGTTACAACTAGAATAGCTTGATACATGATTCATGAGAGTACCCGTCAATCTACAAACTACTAGGACTATAGTTGACGATCCGTCCATCTCAAAAGAATACAGCAACTCCCTCACAATTCATGTGCCAACAGAAGCTTTGACGAATAAGTTTGAAGCTCTCCCAACTCTAGGAAACTGACGCAGAGCTTTGGGGATGATCGGCCTAGGGTTTGGTCCAGCTTGGCATGAGTCAGTCGGTCCTCAGAGGACCGACCCCCAGGCCGCCAACCCCCCTTTCCTTCTCTTCCTCTGCTTCCCTCCCTTTCCTTTCCTTTCCTTCCTTCCTTCCTAGCATCTTTCCTTTATTTTTTATTGAAAAATGAAATCTAAAATCTTTCCTTTACAAATCTGGATTCCCCTCACTTATTTAATCTTTGCCTTAATCTGAAATTTTGATAATTTTTATTTTTCCTTCTTATTTTAAACATTAACTAAAATAAGTCCTAGTTCTCATTATAAAAAAAAGGTGTTATGATTAGAGTTTTTTGTCTTTGTTGTGTTTGCTTTCAGATTTCATGTGCGGAGTTCCCTCCTCCCCCCTGCCAGCACCCACATCATCTTCCCTGCTTCCAGCTCCCAGCCTCCACATCCCTCTCCCTTTTATCCTACTGCTGCCCTCATCCAGCTCTCCTGCAGCCACCACAACATCCCCAGCCTCTCCCAATATCACCAACAGCCACTCCCATCACTACCGCCCAGCCTCCCTGTTTATCCCTACCGTAACTTGCGCTTCTCCTTATCGTAACTTGAAGCCAGCCCCCTTCCTATTTCTCCCTGGTGAATCTACTGCTCCTCCCTGTCATAACCTACAGCCAGCCCACCTCTCCCTATACTCCCAATCAAAACCTGCACCCTCGGCCTTCCTGCAATTGTCCACCCCACCCCAAACAGCAGCTCCTGCAGCCTCCCAGACCGCAGCTCCTGCTACCTTCCCAACCGCAGACCTTCCCTCACTGCCGCCCTCCAACCTGCACCTCCTTTTGTCCAACCGCCACCACGCACCTTCGTAGTCGCCCTAGGGTGTCCTGTTATATCCATATTGTTATTTATCTTTTGTTTGAGTCATTGTTTGTAATCCTAATGAATTTTTAGAAATAATATTTGTATTTTCATTGTGTTTTGGGTTTTTTCTGGTATCAAGGAGCATCTGATCATAAGACTAGAGACATCAATACTCTAGTCAACTAAATAGAAGCTTTTGCATCTAGATCGGTCAAACTTGAAGATGGATCACACTCAAAAATTGTTGTAAAAAGAGACGTGAACCTCTCTCAGGATATGACTCTTTCCTCATTTTTCTATGTTCTACAATAAGAATGCAATTTGTTTTCAATTAGTAAGTTTATTCATGATATGATATGTATGACTAAATTCCATGCATACTCATGTGAATTTCAAATAAAGAAGTTGGGGAAGGAGATTGGCAATGCTAAAATGCATCAAGAAACATACCTGCTCAAGGAAAATCTCCCGAAACAAACAAATGACCTCACCTCCATTTTTACCTCAAAATTATGAGTTTGAGTCTATATTTTCCAAAAAAAAATAGGTCATGTTATGGCATTATCATCTGGCTCGTCCTAATTTCAATTATATTAAAAAATCATATCCTCATTTTTTTATCCATAAAAACACTAGTTCTTATTAATGTGAAATTTATCAACTTGTCAAACATACTGGAAATAGTTATCTCATGACCCCAATATAAACCCTCGCACTCTTTTTCCATTATCCACAGTGATATATGGGGCCCTTCAAAGGTGAAGCAGATTGCACAACCAAGGAGTGGTATATTTCGATGAACATTGAGCTATTGAAGAAAAGGCAATAACATAGTAGACACTGAAAAAGATGACACAAAGAAGGATCAGTTTCCAACAGATGCGGAAGAAAAGTATGTAGTTCAAGCAAATGTCATAAGGAAAACTCTAACATAATACACATTGGTGGTCCAAGAAGGTCCTAAGTCGGAGGAATTGACACCAAACACTCAACAACTTCAGATAAGAGGATTTCCATTGAGTTGCCCCGATTGAGGAAGGTCCAACTCGTCAAAAATGAGAAGATTTTAAGTTACTTCTGAAAGATTATATGGAATTATTCAGATATTAGATTCAGCTAAGCAGTTCACACACCATCAAATGTCCAGACATGAGGGATGAACCACAACTTCGAAACTTATTTTAGGAGTTTGATGGGAAAGAGAATTCTTCAATGTGGGATCCAAGGTCCTATTAGAGAAGGAGAAAAGGCCTCTTTGAGTGTTTGCTAGTGAGTTGTCCAACGTAATAGAGATGTCGTTCCAACTTTGATCTCTCATGACAGTCTTGTTTATCAGACACTCAAGCCGAGTACGAAGTGTGAGAAAAGCATATTATATATTTACTTGTTCGGGATTTGGCCTGTGGAAACCTACGTCGTTATTTAGCTCCAGCTCGGGTTGTGCCAAGAGAGAATAAATATTATTCTATCAAGATGTATTTTGGAATTTCCACGCCTACACAATTGACTTGCTAGGAGATTATGTCATTTCTGATACCTTCAACGGGGTCGACCTAAACATTATGAGACAGAAGCTTTGATAGATGGGGTTGAAGCTCCCCGACCCTAAAAGTTTGACGCGAGAGTTTCCTCCTGTGACTCCCATAGTGCTACAGCAATGTGGGAGCAAATTTGTGATTCTAGCTATAATGTTGCTAATGCGAGCATCGGGAAGAGCGATTACTCATTGTCTGGATCGAATCAATCCAAGTCCGAAAGGGCCGACCGACTCTCCCACGGGGATTGACGACTCCTTCCACAAAGGGATTCAATCCTAGTTATCTAGGGCTTACATATGTGATTTCTGCTTTTAAGTTTTCAATTTTTAGCTCAAATTTGTGTCAGGACAGCCACCGACATCCGCTTTCCCCCTTCAAGGCTTGTATTGGAGGGATTGGGTGGTGCTCCGGTTGTATCTCTCTCCCAAGACTATGTTTATCTTCCTGATTCCCTTCCGCATCTTCCCGACGCTCCTAGCCATCCTCCATCGTAGTACCCGCCCGGACAGCTTCCTATAGGTATCTTCCCTTGCAGTTCTCCACCTCCCATCAACCATCCTTCCACTCACCATACTGCCGCCTCTAGAGACAGTGCCATTTTCGCCATACAGAACCCTTGCTCCTCCCATTCCACCTTGTTGTTGGCACCCCAAACTGGCTGCAGGCTTTCTGCTGCAGCTCCGAACCGGCTGCATTGTTGCTGCCTTCGCGCTGGACAGCCCTCCTGCATTAGTTCTTGTGGCTTGCTTGCAGCCTGGACCATTGCAAACCACCGTCGTGCTGTTTTCTGCTTGCCAACTGCCTCGTCCATCACTTTGCTACCTTCCATGCCTTTGCCGACCACCACTACCACCCCCAGATCCAACATTAGTTTAAGTGTATGTCATGTTTGTTGTTATGTCAGATTTCCGAGTGTCCTGTTATTATATTTTCCTTTTCAAATTTATTGATTGTAACCATTTGTTTGCTTTGAAAATTATTATTTGTTTTTCTTATTGTGGTTTAGGTTAACTCCAGTATCAAGGTATTAATTCAAATTCAATTCATGAAAATAAAAGTTTCATATCAAAAATTAGAACACCTTAAAATAAAATGCATGTGGAGCAAATTGAAATTATTTTAAACCGCTCAACATATTCAACTGCTTAAATTAAATGTAAAGTACTGACTGGAAAGACTTAAGTAACAAAGTTTGCCGGCAAGGAGGCTTGCAAACATCTCAGATGAAGCGCAAAGTTGCAGAAGCTGGACAAGCAAATGAAGGAATGTTACTCCTTCATAGCTCATACAGCAGAGAAGGGATATTAATCAAAACCAATGCTATAATACCATACTGGTTATAGAGAAAAATGATACTTTATTTCACTTTTTCTCTGCTTCTTGAAACATTAATCGAAGTAGCTTTATAGCTAGTAGATCCTAAAATACTCAAGAAAAAGAAGAATCAAATATAGTAAAATTGAACAAACTGTGCAAATTCTCTTTTTATTCAAAACATAAATAATTTCCCATCTCGAGATAATTTCAGATTTTGTCATAAACGAATCTACACATCATTCATCATCATATCTGAAATACTACATATGTTAAGATTTAAAAATTAATGAGTAGCAGCAAAATGAAGTGCTATACGTTCACGGCAATAAATAAATGTATAGTTTCATAAACTTACCTAGTCAAAATATTAACCATAGCTCTAAATGCTGCAACCTACAAGGAATGTGAGGAGAAGAACGAAAAAATAAGTAGTCAACTGAAGGTAAGATCAAGACGAAGAAAAAGCAGTAAAATTAGTTCATAACTGAAAGTGAATTAAAGAATCTCCGAATATTTGATATCCAAAAATAGATATTTTAATCAAAAACAAAATAACATTCCACATTTAGAAACTTCATAGTAAATCTAAAAGAGGCAACAAAATAAGAAACTAATTTTCACCTGAAGTGTCTCCCCACCATCACCAATCAGATTCAAAAGCATATTCAGGATAGGTTGGAGAAATTGTAACAAAACAGAGGATTCAACATTCTTCAAACTATTAATAGCCTGCATAGATGGTTTTCACTTTGTTACTTGACCAAAAGCAAAAATCAATTAAAACATAAAAGTTCGAGAATCACACAAAAAAAAAAAGAAATACATGAATCAAGGATACTTGCTCAAGCAGCATTTCCAATAGAACAAAGGTAAGCAACAAAGATAATTTTTTTGAACAAGCCAGAGGGCAAGACTGTCGAAAAAAGGCTGCTGGCAAAGCAGCAAATCTAAAACTTAATTAGAAAGATAACTCCAAACCGTTACTCTGAGGCTCGCTAAGGAAATCTGTTCATATTCTACAATATGATAATTAGATGGAAAAATAATAATAATATTATAATTCAGGTTTACTCAGTTATGATAGAAAAAAGGCTGGTGGCAAAGCAACAAATCTAAAACTTAATTGGAAAGATAACTCCAAACCGTTACTCTGAGGCTCGCTAAGGAAATCTGTTCAAATTCTACAATATGATAATTGGATGGAAAAATAATAATAATATTATAATTCAGGTTTACTCGGCTATGATAGCTAAAAGCAGATAAAAAAAAACTACTGCAACTCTTCAAAAATTGCATAAGCTGTGATAAACCGCAGTTAGAATTCAGTAACACTCAAGCTAAAATAATTAGACCTCTCCCAACCAACAGCAGCACAGCACAAAGGTAAAATTTAATGCTTCATTTCGTACCTCGAGTAATTCTGAACCCCAAGGAGGACTTGTCCGAAGAATATGTCGGTCATACTCTAGGAAAAAATCTCTAATTCTTTCATTGACAGGAAAAAGTGTGGAGCAAAGCCTTAGACGTAGTTTGAAGATAGTTTTTCCATCCTCCAAATAATCCAATCTCTCCTACAATATAATAAAAAATAGTGAGAATATACCTACCAAGGAAAAAGGACACATGCAAACTAGTGAAAATAATCAAATATAACTATACCTTTCCAGCATCTTGCAAATACTGGGGACCCAACTCCCTCATTATTGGCAATGATATGTCCATATGCAACCTGTAAATGTAAATTTAAATTGTCTGCACTACATAATCATGTAATTATATAAGCAAGGGTTCCCACATTATGGACGTATGTGGGTAAAGAAGTTAGCCATTGAAACTAAAATTAGAATAAGATCTTGCAATATAAGTACCCTCCCAGGTAAATTAATGGAATTTGTTAATATTATGATTCATATAAACATAAATATCTTATGTATTCAAAAAAGTAAATGGGTTGGAGAAAAAACAAAGGAGATTGATAACTTAGATTTTACACTTTGGTATTCAAGCAAGAGTCACACTAGAAATAATGCAGGTGTAATTATAGATAAGAGTTTGAAAGATAATGTTGTAAAAATTAACAAATTCGAGATAGAATCATAGCATTTATGATTATTGTTGATATCATGATTTTTAATACTACTTTAAATATAGGTTCTAAAGCTAAATTTTAGAATGACTAGAAGACTTAATACAAAAGACACCTCTTGAAGAAAGAATCTTTATTAGAGGAGATTTAAATAGACATGTCGGTAGAATGATAGAAGATTTTAGAAATATTCATGGTGAATACGGTTTTGAAGTGATTAATAAAGAAGGTAAAGTTATATTATATTTTGCTTTAAGGTATAATTTTGTTATTATTAATACTTTATTCAATAAAAGTGATGAGCATATTATTACTTATAAGAATGAATCTAATAAAACACAAATTGATTATTTTTATATGAGAAGAAGAGAAAGTTGAGAATATAAAGATTGTAAGATCATTCCAAGTGAGGATTTAAGAACTTAACATCGATTATTAGTTCTAGATTTTAAGAAGAAGAGTTGTAACATAAAAAATATTAAGAATCATTATCGTAGAATTAGATTGAGGCATCTAAAAGTCAAATAAAATTATTTTTATGAGTAAACTTCAAGATTTTAAGATTTGGAATGTTCATGAAGAAATAAATTCTATATGGGACAAAGTAAAAAACATTATTAAACAAGTGACAAAATATGTACTTGGAAAACTAAAAGAAAAAGTTTCTATAAATAAAAATAGGTGGTGGAATAATAATGTGCAAGAGAAGATAAAATATAAAAAGTTATGTTATAAAAATTAGTTTAAATGTAAATACTTACTGAGCTAGGAAAAATGTAAAATGACCAATAGAGAGTCTAAGAGAATAATATGTGACGCTAAAAATTCTGCTTTTAGTAACATTTATAATAGACTATATACTAAAGAGGGTAATATATATATATATATCTATATATATATATATATAAACTAGCAAAACAAACAGAAAAAAAAGTAAAGGTTTAACTCAAGTAATGTGTATTAAAAAAGAAAATTAATAAGTGTTTTTCTTAGAAAAAGATATTCAACATAGGTAGATAAGTTATTTTGATAAAAATTTTAATGAAATTTTTAAAAATACGATCGACCTTAGAGATTTTAATATCATTAGTAGTATAACTAGCAAAACAAAAACAAAAAAAGTAAAGGTTTAACTCAAGTAATGTGTATTAAAAAAGAAAATTAATAAGTATTTTTCTTAGAAAAAGATATTCAACATAGGTAGATAAGTTATTTTGATAAAAATTTTAATGAAATTTTTAAAAATACGATCGACCTTAGTGATTTTAATATTATTAGCAGTAAAAAAATATTTCATATTTACTGACGAATTAGTAAAAAGGAAATTGAGAAGGCTTTAAACAAAACCAAGGGTGGAAAGTCGTAGGACCTAATGATATCCCAATTGAAGTGTGGAAATATAAAGAAGATTTGGAAGTTTCTTGGCTTACTAAACTCTTTAGTATTTTTATAAGACCTAAAAGATGTATGAGGAGTGGAGAAAGAGTATTTTGGTCCCCATTTTTAAGAATAAAGGGGATGCCCAAGAGTGTGTAAATTATAAAGGAATTAAGTTGAGCATAGGTTAAGAGGTATTACAAAGATTTCTCTTAATCAAATTGGATTTCTGTGTGACAGGTCTACTATGGAAGCTATACATTTATTGAGAGGTTTGATGAAGAAGTTCAGAGATAATAAGGAGAATCTACATTTGTTTTTTATTGATTTAGAAAAAGCTTACGATAAGGTTCCAAGAGATATCCTTTGGAGAGTTCTTGAGAAAAAAGGTGTTGATATGACTTATAATCAAGTCAATAAAGATATGTATACTACAATTGTTACTTGTGTTCGAACAGAAAGAGGATTGACCAATTTTTTACCTATTTTTGTTGGACTACATCAAGGATCGACTTTAAGACCATATTTTTTTGTTTTAGTTATGAATGATCTTACTGGACATTTACAAGAGGATGTACCTTGGTGTATGCTTTTCGCTAATGGTATCCTTCTCGTGGATAAGACTAGAGAAATCTCAGGAAAATTTGAACATTGGAGTCTAAAGGCCTTCGTTTCAGTAGAACTAAAACTGAATACATGAAATGTAATTTTAGTAGTAGTAGCACTAGTAACAGAGTTGTAAGTGGAGTTGTAATAAGGGGTGATCAAGTCATTAATAGGAGTGAATATTTTGTATATATCAGGTCTATTGTTCAAAGTAATGGTGATATAGATGAGGTTGTTATTAGATGAGGCTGTTATTAGTAATTCAAGTTGGATGGTTGAAGTGGAGGAATGCTTCGGGCATGTTGTGTGATAGAAAAGTGTCACTTAGACTGAAAAGAAAATTTTATAAGATGGTGGTGAGACCAATAATGCTCTATAGCGTTGAATGTTGGCCTTTAAAAGAGAAGTATAAAACTAAGTTAAGTGTTTTCCAGATGAGAATGATAGGCGGATGAGTGATAAAACTAAGTTAAGTGTTGTCGAGATGAGAATGATAGGCGGATGAGTGACTTTGCACTTGGAGAAAAAATGTGAAATGAATATATTCGGGGGTGTAGCTCCAGTGGCGAACAAAATTAGAGAGAGTCGTCTTAGATGTCTTGGTCATATTAAACCTCGACCATCTGGTGATCTGATTGGGAGAGTAAATGTTTTAGATTTGACTTATGTTAAGAAATGTAGAGGTAGACCTAGAAAGACTTGGGCTTATTGTATAAAAAATGATCTTAATTTATTATAATTAAATGAAAATATGACACTCAATAAAACACAATGGAGAACATAGATTCATGTAGTCAACCCGCTTAGTGGGATAAAGGTTTGTTGTTGTTGTTGTTGTGAAAGAACAATATCATATCAAAGATATAAATAATCTATTGTATGTAAAAAATACATTCAAAGGATATCAAGTTTAATAAAAGGAAAAAAAAGTGTTTTTTTATGTTCATAAGCACTTACTGAGCATGAATGGACAATGGAAGCACGGCATATCCTACAACTACCTGCATATGTTAAACAGAACATCAAAAAAAAGTCATGTGAGATTTAAAGAAAGAGTAAAATGCAAAAGATAATCCCCGACTATTTACATCAGATCATTTTAGGTCTAAAGTCTATAAAAGTATCAAATTAGTCTCCCGAATCTTTCAATATGGGCTGAAAAAATCTCTAGTGATGACTATTGTAGCCCCTTTTGAGATTAAATAGCACTTTTATAGACTTAGAGACTAAAATGACCCCCACCAAAGAGTCAGGGGATCATTTTGACACTTCTCTTTAAATAAATACTAAAAAGAAAGTCAAGTTGGTACAAATAATACCCACAGGTTTAGGAGCTTCTAATTTTGTTTGGAGGTCGATATGAAAGAAGGAAAAAAGAAGATGGTGTTGAGGTGTCAAAAGAGCAGGAAGACAAATTTTAATTTCATCATGATAGGATGCTATCCTGGCACCAACAGCCACCTGTGTATTAGCCCATTTTTTAAGTCCCAAACTAGGGCCCCTTGGATACATTGCCTGAGCAAGAGAATACAACACAATTATGCAACATTGAAACCACACGGGGGTGAAAATACAAAGGTCCGACATGCAAAGAACAGACCTCAATAGGTTGTTTGCGAATATCCCCATCATCTTTCTTCATCTCCACCCTAATGAACAAGTTTCTTTTGCGACTGAAACAGACCGTCAACGGATATAGATAAAGACAATGAATAAGTTGTGTGAATGGCTCACTTTTAAACATCACCCTGAAATCAAATGCTTCAAACTGCCAAAGCACCAAATATATAATTATTGTCATGACCTATTCCATGAAAAGGTGTATTTCACTTTTTAAAAGTCAAAATAATGATATTTTTTATGTGATATAAAAGATTTGGGTGGTCTAAATGTAAAAATTAAATTATAGGTGTTAGATATGTATATGCATAAGAATTGGGTGATATGTATGTAAATGCCCCAAAATATAAATGAAACAAAATTTAAAGGTGTGATGTAAATGATGAAATAAACCCAAAAAATATACCCAACAATTACCAATTCCTCGTTGCACTTATTGAAGTCGGATCCTCTGGTTATTTGTAGAGCCGACTTGTCCTGCTTTTTCCTATCAGCACCGTTCAACTTTAGACTCCCATTGGAGTGTTTCCCGCTTGGTCCACCACCTTCACCAACATCATTTAAACTGTTGGTAACACTTCCAGCTTCAGAAAGATTGTCTGAATCAGTACTCTTTGCATAGAATTTTTCAACCTCCAACCTCAATGTGCCCTTGACAGGCTTGTGTACCTTTCTTTTTGGATCCTGAAAGAAATATATGCATAATATATATGTATGTATGTATGTATGTATATATATATATATAGATATATATATAGATATATATACACACCACTTAAGAAACTAAAACGAGAATTTGTAAGAGTAGTAGCTCTAACAAGAGATTGACGTGCTAGCAGTTCAATCAGACCAATGTTCGTTCATAAAACAGTTGATGATTTTTGTATTCAGTAACCCAAATTCCAAATATAAGAACATAAGTCTTGTGAACACTTTCATTGCCAACAAAAAATAAGTGAAATTAAGATGGCCTGTATTCCAAAACAATCATAGTATGAATGATTTAATCATAATAGAAAAATGAACTTTTATTTTCTAGTGGCAGGTGCAAATAACAAATAAACAAGATTTCATACTGAAACAAAAAAAACACATTTATGTGACTCAAAATTGACCAACACCAAAGATGCAAAATATTTAAACTTTAAATGAGTAAGAATCAAACTATGAAACTAAATATCAAAATGAACTAAGTCAAAATATGCAGCTATTAGGATTTGATGTAAAGGATAAGACAGCACATGATGAAAGTAAAAGAAACTGAAACAGGAGGCTGTTAGACCGGTACCTATGGCGTTGTGAAAGTTCCTATCAGAATCATCATCAAATTAAAACATCAACTTCATTAAATAAGTCTGCTCGAGCACTGACATAAATAACCTCTCTTCTCCAAATAGTTTGATAAAGCGCAAAGCATGGGATCATACAAGTTATCCCAAAGTTCATATAGTGCCCAGGCTAAATCAAGAGAATTTTTTCATCACCCAGTCCACAGAAGTGTCAAGCACTGGATTGACGATCCCCATCGACCTAATACAAACTTTGAGAGCTAAGACTACGATATGCGTCCTTCATCAAGTCCGCCAAATCAAGAGCATCAGAACAAATATATGTTCATCCTCAAACAACTAAACAAAGACAAATTGAATCAATCCCTTCATTAAGCTCATCAATGCTAAAACCAAAGAGCAGAAGGCAAGCTCAATTTCCCGAAAAAGACAGCAAAGAAAAATTAAAACAATCTTTCATTCAGTCATTAAAGCACAAAGCGTCCATACACAGATCACTTTGATAGCCGTCAAGGCTAATCAAATGACCTTCATTCACAAAATTAAGTGTTTCAACACGTTTGATGCATTAAAATTGCCTAAGGATAAGACCCATATAACTAGGCTTCCGCATGAACGCAAAAATGTGAATTCACTTGTGCATGAGCCGACGGAGCAAATAAGAGATATTTGATGATCAATTGTGCGAAGAAAAATTATCAGATTTAAGTTAAATGGGATTTAATAAATCTGATAAATCCGGTTTACTTTACACGACAAACTCAGGGAACAAAATACGCATTTGAACTCAAATATAATGAATTTGAAATATACCACTTCAAAACTGTAGGATAAATTTCAAATTCATAAAAATTTTCCACTTCATTCCAATTTTATCCTACCAAACTCCAAAAATTTTTAAAAATTTTGTATTTGTTTTACTTTACAACAAAAACTTAGGGAACCAAACAGCCCCTAAGTAAAAAATTTCGCCTGAACTTAAGCAAATCTCATCCAACATTCAAAGCAATTTATCTTCCAACAACAAGTCATTATCCCACTAGGTGGGGCCGGCTACATGAACCCTTTTCTCTATTATGTCCCATTGAGTGCCATATTTTCATTTGCTTCTAAATAAATAAGATATTTTTTTTTATACAATATACCCCAAGTCATTTTAAGTTTAGTTTTTTTTATACAATATACCCCAAGTCATTTTAAGTCTAGCTCTGTCTTTCTTAACAGAAGTCGAATCTTAAACATTTACTATCCTAACCGGATCATCAAATGACCAACGTTTAATGTTACCAAACCATCTAAGACGACTCCTTCTAAGGCCTCCTTCTAAGCTTTTCTGCCACTGGAGCAACACCAACCCTTTCGGGATAGATTTGTTTCGCATTTTGTCTCTAAGTGTTAAGTCACTCATCCACTTAAGCATCATCATCTCAGCAACACTTAGCTTTGTTTTATGCTTCTCTTTTAAAGGTGCAACAACACTTAGCTTTGTTTTATGCTTCTCTTTTACAGGTGAACATTCTGCGTCATAGAACATTGGAAGTCTCACCAGCATATTATAAAATTTTCCTTTCAGCCAAAGTGGTACTTTTCTATCACACAATAAGCCCAATGCAGTCCTCCAATTCAACCCAGTGGTACTTTTCTATCACACAATAGGCCCAATGCAGTCCTCCAATTCAACCAAACAACTTGAATTCTACTAATAACAGCCCCATCTATAACACCATTACTTTGACAATAGACTTGAAATATCTAAAACGTACACATCATTTAATGATTTGATCACCCACTGTCACAACTCTGCCACCTGAGCAACTACTACCAAAATTAAAATTCATGTATTCAATTTTAGTTCTACTCAAACGAAGGCCATTGAACTCCAATGTATACTTCCAAAATTCAATTTTTTTTTGACATTTTTCTATAGTCATATTAAAGAATGATATCATCAGTGAAAAGAATACACCAAGGTACATCCTCCTGTAAATGTTTGGTAAGAGCATCCATAACTAAAGCAAAAAGATATGGGTTTACAATCGATCCCTGAAGTAATCCAACTGAAATAAGAAAATACTTGGTCAACCCTCCATCTGTTCGAACACAAGTAACAACTCTAGTATGCATATCTTTAATGACTTGAATATAAGTCATATCAACATATTTCTTCTTTGGAACTTTCCAAAGAACTTCTCTTGGAACCATATCGTAAGCTTTTTCTAAATCAATAAGCATCATATGTAGATCCTCCTTATTCTCTCTGTACTTTTCCATCAAATCTCTCAATAAATGTATTGACTTGCTCGGCATAAATCCAAACTGATTATGAGAAATCTAGGTATCACGTCTTAACCAATGCTCAATTGCCCTCTCTCAAAATTTTAAAATATGACACATTAACTTAATTCCTCTATAATTTGCATACTCGTGTGCAACCCTTTTATTCTTAAAAAAGGACATCAAAATACTCTCCCTCCACTTCTCAGACATCTTTATAATTTTTAAAATACTAATAAAAAGTTTAGTAAGTGAAAAACTGTAGAATCTCCTAAATATTTTCACACTTTAATTGGGATATCATCGTATCTTAGTGATTTTCTTCCCTTGGTTCTCTTTAAAGCCTCCTCAACAATTTATCAAGAGAGGCAAATTTATGATTAATCTTAGTTCACAAAAAGTAAATCACACTAAGTATATCATAGCCGATGTAGGTGCTTCAACGATTGAAATCCGCAATTGCAGAATTTTGCATTGTCGCCAAATCTAAAGACTCCAGCGAAAGTAAGATACGTTAACCTGGTAGCTTTCCCATATCGTATCAAATTTAGCAAGCATTTTTAACTTTTTTAGTTTTTTTCATATTTCTCTACTTTTAATTAGGGTTTATTTGTGGCAGGAGACTATTTTTATATTTATTTTTTTATTTTGAAGACATTAGCTTGGTCCCATGCCTACCACAAGTCAATTGGCAGGAAATCTCCCACTATCAACTCTATGGAAATAGGTAATCTTGTTCCCACAACGTCGCGCCTGATCGGGACGAACCCACGTCTCCTGCATCACAGAAAGCTCTCATGTCTTCTAAGTCGCGAGATGCCTCGCATCACTCTCCCTAAGGGGGAGGGATTTGTCTTCTTCTAAGAAAATTTGTGAATACTTGGAGTACAGCAATAAGTCATTGATTTTAAGAGTACCAGAATATTGTAGTCTCCCGACAGATCAATCATGTATGCATTTTCATGGATCTTCTGAACAATCCTGAATGAACCATCAGCCCTAGGCATGAGTTTTATAGCATTCCTGGATTTGTTAGCCTGTCTTTGATACTTCAAGCTATGCTTGGCAATTTTTTCCCTTGCCTACTCATGTAGTATATGATTCTCTCTCAATCTAACCTTTGCATCAGTACTAAACTCAGTAGCTAGAGATCTTATCACTAACTCCAAAAAATTAAGTGTTCTGCCCATCTACATCCTCAAGAGGGTGTGTCATACAGACTAGCCAATAGATCAATGGTAAGCAAACTCAACTTGAGGAAGGACCAAACCTCATTGCCTGATAGCCCACAAACCACCTGAAGAAATTCTCTAAACTCTGATTTACCACCAAAGGAGATTTAATAATTTATAGAAATAATTATGATTCTTCATAACTACGAGTTTTGTGTAAATTGAAAAGTGAAATATTCGGATATAATAATGTTCCAAAAGAAAGGGTAATACAAAAATTATAAGTGTTCTTATATACCTTCAAAAAGCTACCCTATATGTACTCTAATAAAGTTACGATTCATTCTTATTTAACTAAAACCCATTCAATCAAAAATAATTTTCCTAACAGGAAACAGCAAGGTCTTGTATGTCTTCTTGTCATTGCAACACAAGAACGGTTACAAAACAGTACACATGGAAATCATTAAGCAATAACGAACAACACAAACAGTAAGCCGGTTGAAGTTGGGAACAAGCAAAACTTGGAGCATATTAAATCATAACAAAAAAATTCAGTCCGGTGTAAACTATATCAAGCCTTAACATTTGAGTAATTCCACCGTAAGTTGTTCTTTTTTCCTCTTCAATTTTCGACATTAAATATTATTCAACGAAAAGGGTATAAGGACAGTTTGATATCAAATATGGAAAAAATAATTTCAAAATATTTCATTATATAAAAAGATCCGATTAAAAAATGATTAACAATAAAAGAGGCAAATTGGAATATAAATAAAATGTTACCTGAAGCGTGTCCTCTGTATAGCTCTCTTTGACCTTATTTAAACTTGATATCTCCACAATAACTGCGCTCCCAGAGGAAGACTGGGGAAGTTTCCCATCATTAGCTACTTTAGCAACAGGCTCACCATTACCATCTTGGAAGATTAAGCCCGAAATACTGGGAGTAAAGGGACTGCCGGGAGAAGCGGCACCTCCTCCAGATGCAGTATTTTGATTCTCAAACAGTGTAACAAAAGTCCAAGCAAAACACTCCTTGTAAGGCATCATTCGAGTCCAAACTTGAAGCTTCTGCTTTTCCTTTTCAGTCAAGTTTATCTGTCATGCCATAATAAGAAAACATCAGGCCATCCATGATATCGGAGAAAGCCCAAATCACCACGAAAAAGCACAATTAGTATTACTGAATTAAAAAAGTTACAAACAAGTCTCTTACGAGCATTGAATAAATGATGAAAAATATAAAATACACCCTAAGGCAATGGCGTAGGGGGATGGGTGGTGGTTGGCCGGCGGGTAGAAGACGGGTTTGTTGAAGGCAATAACAGCAGAATGGGTTGGAAGGTAATCATCATTGACTGGATCTGATGGAGTGAGCTGCGGAGGCTATTGGACTGGTGGGGATGGGCTGCGACGGCTATTGGAGTGGTGGGGACGGGCTACTGCGGCGATTGGAAGGGTTGGAAGCAGCTGACGGCGGCACTAACTGAAGAATGAGATGCCTGGCGCTCTGCCTAGTAGGTGCAAGAGGTCGGCGGCCATATGGAGTGGAGCTGAGAAATGGCGGGCTGCTGGAAGGTGGCATGAATGGGTGGCCAGCAGCAAGAAGAGGGTTGGAAGGTGGTCGAAGGTCAAGGTGGCAGCCACGATGGGCATGGAGGCTTGTGCGGTGGCAGGAAGGTGGCTTGCAGCTGTTGGAAGGGGCTTGGAGGCCTAGAAGACAGCAGAGAAGATGATTTGCGACTGCTGGAAGTGGGATCGAAGGAGCTGCGGAAGGATAAATGTCTCGCAGGGGTCAGGCTACCGCCGAAACACCACCAGGACCCTTTCAGACGGTCACAAACTCAGACAAGTTAGAGTCGGAACACCTTCTCATTGTTGGGTACAGCCCCCTGAGAGGAAGAACGCCTTAACGGTAGCAAAATGAAATGAGCAATCATCAAAAACCTCTCAACTCTAAACAAACACAGCATAATATAAAAAATCATAGTACAAAGAAATAAAAAGGAATTTGAAATTGGGATAGAAGTGGAAGGTAGTAGAAAAGGTAGACAATGAATAAAGAGGAATCGAATTGGAAAGAAATAGAAATAGAAAAGGGGAAGAAAGAATTGGGATAGAAGTGGAAGGTGGTAGAAAAGGTAGACAATGAATAGGGAGGAATCGAATTGAAAAGAAATAGAAATAGAAAAGGGGAAGAAAGGGCAAGCAATAGAATAGGAAGGAATTGGATAAAAATAGAAAAAGGGATGGAATAAAAAAGGAGAGGGGGGGAGGTAAAAAAGGAGAGGGGGGGAGGGAGGGGTTGAAGCGTGGTACTGCACCAGCTAAGGTGCCACGCCCGCGACACTGTAGCAGCTACAATACCGCAACCTAATAAGTTCTCGCGTCAATCCATAATAATCTAAATATGTGAATAAGGCACAATAGACCGTGAGAGACCTCCATCAATTTGTGAAAAAGTTGGCATCACAATGAATTCCTAAATAGTATCACATCAATAATTCAGCAAAATCATATTTCAAGTCATGCCTTCAATCTCTTTAAATTTAGTAGATAATCATGAAACATACTAAAAGGTGACAAATTAGTATTTCAATGCAATCTACTAGCAATTTCAAGAAAATAAATTATTACGAGTAAAATGTCAAAATAGTCCCCTGGCTATTTACATGGGGCCATTTTAGTCTAGGAGTCTATAAAAGTCTTAAATTAGTCCCTATACTTCTTTAATATGAACTAAAATAAATCCCAGGAAGGACTAGTTTAGCCCCCATTAAAAAAGCATGGGACTAAATTGACACTTCTATAGACTATGGGACTAAAATAGCTTCCCACAAAGAATGGAGGATCATTTTGACACATTTCTCTACATTTATTGAAAACTATACTCC